CTACTCTTCTTCTCTCGCCAAAAGTTCTAAGGGCTGAAATATAGTAAAAGAAGGAATTTGAGAATGCTTTCAAAGGGTACCTCTTTGCTGGGATCGCCCATCGGAAGGGGTTCGTCCTCCTCGCCCTTGATTACGCCCTCCATGTCCAGCTCCAGTGGCTCTTCCTCGGACTCCTCCTCCTCCTCCACCTTGTGCTCATCAGCTGCTGGCTCGGGCTTCGCTTCTGCACTGGCCGACTTTTTGGGCACAGGAATTGTTGCGCCAAGACTATAAACGTATCAGCTGAACGAACGAATGAATTTGCAAATGTAACTTTTAAAAAATCAGCTTAACTATTTGCAAGGTCCGCCTAAGCATCACATTCTGCATAAACTCGCAGATGCCCCCATTAGGGGAGGGAAGAAGTACTGAAAAGGGGAGAAGTGACGCAAGATGCGCAATTTACATCCACAGAGAGGGGTGCGGGGTTAGGGTCTTTCGCCACCCTCCTTCCCCCTCCTCCCCTTCCCCTCCCCCAGCCGTAATGGATTCAGGAGGGGCACGGGGTTAGGGTCTTTCATCATCCTTCTTCCCCTTCCTCCCCCTCCCCCAGCCCTATTAGTGCTACAAAAGTCCGGTTCTAAAACTAAAATAAAAACCAAAGTAACTCTAAGCAGCAGTGTTACAACTCTATTCCTGGTTTTTGCATCGTTTCAGGGTGGGAGGGGGCTCTCCCCCATCCCCTGTCCTCTCCCTCGCCTCCAGTCAAATCCCACTACCCTTCCTCCCTCACCCTCCCCTACCCCCTCCCTGGCATCCGTCCTGAATCCGCCTATGTCTACAGCATATCCCCAACCCATAGCAATTCAGTTGTGGTTCGATGTGAGCGATATTATCAAAGCAATGTACGCCAGGGACTCTCCCTTTGAGGATTCGTCCTCCTCCCCCGCCCTGGGGAAGCCCCACTCTTCCCCTCCCCCGTCCTCCTCCTCCCGTCGCCCTTACCCCCAGGAGTCCGTCCTAAGTCCGCCTATATCTAAAACACATTCCCAACCCACAGCAATTCAGTTGTGGTTTGATGTGAGCGATATTATCAAAGCAATGTACACCAGCAAAAATAACCACTAAGGCCAAGCAAAACGCATTTTTTTGTGAGTTTAGGTGAGAGTTACAAAAAACATAGCTTTACAAAAGCAATGGACTTTTTGTTTCAAAAAATTTCGATTTGAAAGCAAAAGCTTGTAAGCTTTCATTGAGCATCTAGTTTCTTGCTTAGCATCATAACTGACTGACCTCTCAAGATACTCCTTGTAGAAGGCGAACTTCGGCTCGTGCAGAACTGCCGGATTGGCTTTGCAGATATCCACGAACTGATGCAATAGCTCCACTTCGTCACCCATCGCTGTGTTGTTGTCACTGCAAACACAGTACGTGAAAGTTACGTAAAAACGTCACAGGGCCCTCCTCTCACATTCCCCATTATCGCTAAACCGCGAGTCTCCTCTCCACAAAAC